CAAACATGCCCAGAAAGCAAAATGATGGATCACTGAGTCCTGTCAATCTTAGTTGTCAATCAAAGAAGCCCACTCCTCTAAGAAAAGTGACCACCCACCCCCAAAAGCTTTGTCACCAGGCCTTCTGAGCCGCGCTTTTCCTGCTCAGGCCCGCTTCCTCCTCTGGAAGTACTTTCCCTTCTAATAAAACTTTTATTTTCTACTGTATTTTGGTGTCTTGCTCAATTCTTTGTTCGAGACATCGAAAACCTGGGCGACGCGCCGGGAGAGGACCCCATTCTCCAGTAACACTAAGAGAGCATCACATTTCCATGCTTCAGCCTATCGGAGGAAGTATTGTGTCATTTTGGGAAAGTTACCGAGCCTCCCTGGGCCTTGGTTTCACCATCTGCAAATTGGGAATAATAACAGTATCTGTTTTTTAGGGTCCTGTGCAGACTTGGTGGGTTAATATGAAAAAGTGTTTCCAATGGCCTAAATTACCAGCTCCAGCGAGAGCTCTAATTAGTAAAATATTTAAAACTGCCGCTCCCTGGCGGGGCTGGTTTTCAGCTTTGAAGAAGGCAACACACATAATATTTTCCTTTCCAGACACAATTTGTTTGTGGCCTTTGGGATGCAGACATGAACCAGACCAGGTTCCAGGAAGAGAGAAGGCAGGAGTGTGGGGTGGAAAGGTCTGGCCTTTCCCAGGCACAGCCTCCCGTTTTCTGAAGGAGTTGGGTCTTGAATTATGCCTATGACCCTACAGCAGCCAGATAAGAGAGTGGAGGCTCAGCAAGAACGAGAGTGGCCCAGATGTCTTGTCTCTGCTGGACAGTGCACATCTGGACATAGTGAGACTCCTGCGGGGGAACGTCTTGTCTCTGCTGGACCGTGCACATCTGGACATAGTGAGACTCCTGCGGGGGAAAATCTTTACTAAAAAGATTAACTCTGGGTGATTGTCACTAAGCAGCAGCCCCTGGCACAGCTGGACAGAAGAAGGAACTTCCTGAGAGTCCATCTGACACGTGGGCTTCACCTCCCAGACGAAGGCGTAGATGCCAGGGCTGGAACCCTGCTGGGTGAAACCGCTGCCATCGCCACCTCCAGCAATGCACCCCTCACACCGATGAGGTAAAGCAACTTGCTTAGGATCATGGGGCAAATGAGTGGTGGTATTGGGGTTTGAATTTAGCTCTCAAGCCCTTGTACTAAAGAGGAATTTGCACTCAAAAAGCTAATCCCCTTATTCCCCTTTGTTCTGCTTCTGTGGATTTGCATACTGCATAGGTCCTAGGGCAGAGTGATCTCGAGATCAACTGAAGACTCACCCTCCCTATGATTGTTCTGTCTCCCTAACAGAAGTATTATTGATTTGGCTTAAGAATTGTCTAACTTCAAATGGCCCTTTTGACAGAAGGGCCCTCTGTTGAATTATTTTCTTGAAATTTTAAGGTCTATTTCCCCGCTCCATTAGGAGCTCCCTAAGTCAAATATGGGGGAAGGTTCCTCTAAGCCCACTGTCTTAAATTGTATGTTGAAAAAATTTAAGAAAGGGGATTACGGGGTCAATTTGACCCTAGGAAAACTTCGTACTCTTTGTGAGCTCGAGTGGCCTGACCAACTTGGGAAAGAACAAGGAAGAGCCAGCAAAAGACATCCAACATATTTTAGCCACCTGCTGTATAATCATTGAAAAGGACTGCATTCTAACAGCGGCCCGTCAGGAGGCAGATGAGGCCTTTGCTAGGAACCCCCAGGGCCATGACCCTGGAACAGAGGTAGTATCTAGCTGATCCTGATTGGAATTATAATACCTAAGAGGGAATGGCCAGATGTGCCAAATTTCTAGAGGTCTTCATGGGGGGAAAGAAAAAAAAAAAAAGGAAGACGAAAGTCGTGAACTATGAGAAGCTTAGAACCATTACTCAAGAAAAAGATGAGAACCCAGCCAGCTTTTTAGCCAGCTGGAAGAAGCCTTTAGGGGGTATACTAATGGAGACCCCACGTCCCCTGTAGGGTTAGCTTTGTTAGGCCAGTATTTTATTAGCCAGTCAGCCCCTGATATCAAACGCAAGCTTCGAAAGCTGCAAATGGGGCCACGGACTAACCGAAATCAATTACTATATATGGCCTTCATGGTCTATAACACTTAAGATCTTGAAGAGGGAAAAAGAGAACAGAATAAAGAAAAACAACAAGCCAGGATTATGGCTGTCGCAATTGGCCAGGCCCTTGGTAGCCGACAAGCGTCTCTTAAGAGACTGGGGGATAAGGAGACATTGAGTTCTTGCTTCAAATGCAAGAAAGTAGAACATCGGGCAAAAGACTGTACCGAAAGGCATCTGAGCCCCTGCCTCGCATGCAAAGAAACTGGTGCTAATCCCTGGCATTGGAGAGTTGACTGTCCACACTCTCAGAGAGAAGGGTGGCCAGCCAACACCCTAGTACCCCAGGTCCGGGAACTGCGTGACTCAAGAGGTCCAGGGCCATCCTCGCCGCCCCTGTCCAGGAATGTGGTCATCACTACCGAGGAACCCCAGGTAACTCTGGTCATGATGGGTAAGCAAATTCAGTTTCTTTTAGATATGGGGCAACCTATTCTCCCTGCATTTGCAGGAAAACCCTCCTCAGGAACTACAATTATTACAGGAGTAGAAGGAGAAGGCAAGGTCAGCCACTGACCTGCCCATTGAAGATCGGATCTTTCAGCACGAGTTTTTAATAGTTCCAAGCTGCCCAGCTCCCTTGTTAGGATGGGATATTTTAACTAAATTAGGAGCAATGTTACAACTCGGGTGTAGACCCCCCCCCACCCTCCAAGACTTTTAATGCCTCAGAATCAGTTAATATACCAGAAAACATTGACCAACAAGTTAATCGCGTGGCTCGGTATAATGGCAAGCCCGGGCAAGTAAAAGTTCAGCTGCTATGTTCCTTCACCAAGATTCAGACTTATTAGCTGGCCCAATGATAGGAGCGCCTTCCCCGAGATCTCGGTAATCAGGAATTTTCTCCCACTTCACCCTCGGACTCTGAGAGGGAAACGAGTTCTCTCAAGACCCCATCTATTTCATTACTCCCTGAGGAAACTAGATACGCACCCTCAGGGGCGTTAACATACTGATGATGGGGAAATATGAGCACGTGCACGACCTCTGATCTGTATTTGTCTGTGTTATATGTCATGTGGTGGTTCAGTTAAAATTCTAATTATGATAGAAAGAAAAATGTTTTTTGGTAACAGAAGGTATCAAGTATGGAGAGTTATTTTGAAGGGAATTGAAGGAAAGGTGTTGGTCTTAAAGTTGGTTATTTCTGAATGAGTTGAAGAGGCAAACTGAAGGAACGAGGAAAGTGGTAGAAGGTCTGTGAAGAGAAATCCGGAGAGAAATTTTATGTGATTGAGCCAAACGAGGTTAGACATTTAAATATCAAAAGTAAGCTAATGCAAAACTAGAGTTGTGTTTTCATATTTCTTAGACTATTAGTCTGCTACTGATGTTATGGAAAAGTTTTCTGAGTAGAAAACAAGGATTCCGTGCTTAATCAAAAGAATTTCTGTTTTATGTTGCCTTGACCAGTTTTCTGAGACTTTTAGAGAATATACTACCATTGGCCCAAAGTCTGAGGGCCAGATGCTCCTGGCTATACGTTTCAAAACTTGGTCTGTGCCCAATATTCAAAGGAAGCTCCAAAAGTTGGGGCCTAGACCTAAACCCCACAGGCTGCCTTGGTGCCAGAGGTCTTTAAGGTGTCCAATAACTGGGCCCATAATTGCCCAAAAAGGCGCAATATTTGGGCTGCCATAATACAGGGACCATCTCGAGGTGACCCTAGACAAATAAAAACCTTACATCTCGGTCAGCCATGATTGACATCATCAGGACTGGGGCATCTCGCAAGCTCCAGTCCTAGAGAAATCCATCATGATCACACCAGTGGAGACTCAGGTCACCCTCGACATGGCTGGAAGGAAAAAAAACCTGAACTTTTACTAGATACTAGAGCTACCTACTCTGTCCTGACCCATCGCCTGGGCCTCCCTCCAATGCTAACTGTACAGTGACAGGGATAGATAGTCAGCCTAAGGTACTTTACTCTTCCCATTGTGAGACCAGGACTAGCAATGAAGTTCTCTGCCACATATCAGGACCAGGGTCCAGTGTGGAAAGCGCCTCATCTGGAAAACTGGGACACAGCCAAAAAGGGGGGCAGCTCCCTTGCCCACCACACAAAGTGCGTTTGTGGGGAAAAAAGGCTAAACCATTCATAGACAACCCGCCTCTATGTCAGGAGTTCCCACTCACAGAGCGACTACCTTCCCACAATCTGTTGAAAGTTGGCCCTCAACACAAACAGAAAGGGCCCCACTCGAGACTCAGGAAGGATAAGGCTATGCTTTCCTCCAAAGTTTTCACTATAACACCAACAGAAAAATGCATAACATTTAGTAAGTGTACTAACTAATGTTTTAACATCTCAGATAACATGACCTTGAACTGCAGCTTCACTACTTCTGTAAGGTATGCAAATGTGAGCATGTTAAATTACCCACTGGATGGTTTCTTATTAATGGAAGACCTTGTTCCCTGGGAAGACTAACTTATTATGCCTCAAAAGTCTTCAACTAGGCACCGCAGTGAACTCATCCTTGACCCCAGCTGTAATAGTGACCTACACTTATTTAATCCAGATGAATTTAATCCAACTCCAGAACACGGAGTTAGGGAGTTGGCTTTATTGCTTTGTTTTTATTTATTGTACCGGTTATGACTATTGCCCTAAATATAGAAGTTAACAGAATAGCCTGCTCCATGGTAAAAGCCTTAAACACAACCTCTCAGGACATCCATGCCATGGGAGAAGAGTTAGGACAGGTCAGAGAAGCTATCCTTGAAAACAGGGCCGCTATAGACTACCTGTTACTCAGACATAACCATGGATGTGAAGAATTTAAAGGACTATGTTGTTTTAACCTCTCTGACAACTCATTGAAGAAAAAGTGAAACAAATTCACGAAGTTGTGTCCAATATTGAACAGAGGACAGGAATTTTTAGTCTTGATCTCCCCGCCCTCACTTCCTGGCTGCTCAGTCTCGCTGGGCTAAGGGAAGCCTTTCTTATTTTCATTTTGTTTATCTTCGTAGGAGCTATCTCTTGTTGCTGCATCCAATGCGCTCCCTCCCACCTGCAGGTCCGTTGCCAGCTGGATACCTAAGACAAAACCGAAACCGAAGGGAAGAATTTTCTTACAGCGGCAAAGCGATCAATTTCATCTTAAGCTGGTCTCATATGAGACCGATCAAAAGAGGGGGAAGATGATTTGGGACATCACCTGTAAGATTCTTAATCTTTTAGCAGGAGATGATATGAGACGTCTCTTGCAGAGTTCTTAATTTTTTAGTAAACCTAGTTAAGTTTTCTCCTTTCTTTGGGAAAAAGATCCTCTCCCCCATATCTAGATAATGACCCTGAAACTGGTAACTCAGGTTCTCTGGGAATGGCCCTAGGCCAGGCAGGGTCTTAAGAGTCTGAGAGGCAAGGGGACTTTAGATCAAAGATTTTTTTTTTTATTCTTTAAGTGTATCTTCTTTTCCTTGTC